GGGGCCTGGAATATTGGGGAATATTTTTGATGGAATTCAGGTGTGCTTTTTCCCCTAAGCAAAACATTTAAGGATTATCTCACTTCAATTGCTATATTTTGACCAATTGATGATTTACGTTTTCCTTTTTTTGCGTGTTCTTTCTAACTTAAATGTTTCTTTATTGTGACAGAGGCCTTTGAAAACTATTGCTAAAAGATCTGGCGATGTCTATATTCCTCGGGGTGTGTCTGTTCCAGCACTTGACAAAGATACACTTTGGGAATTTCAGCCTAAGAAAATAGGTACCAAAGAAATAAAATTATTTTTCTTTTTATTATTAATTTCTATACTGAACAGAACTATTACATGGACCATTTTTTTCTGATATTCTACCTGCTTCACTGATGACAGGTGAAGGTGACCTATTAACTGGTGGAGATTTATATGCGGTATGTTTCTGTTGCCTTTAGGTTGGCTTGCAAGTTGTTCCTGTTTTGTGCATCTGGTTTTTCTAAATCTTGTGAATTATTTACCGTTGCAGACTGTTTTTGAGAACACTCTAATGCAACACCATATTGCACTGCCTCCTGATGCCATGGGAAAGATTACCTACATTGCACCCCCTGGCCAATATTCTATAACGGTTAGTTTTTTTTTTTTTTTTTTAACTCCTTTCCTTTAATGTATTGTGCTATTTTTCTGTGAGATATTCACGGCCTCTCTTTCTCTTTTCTTCATATTTTCCTGATGATGGCAGAATTGCCAAACTTACATACTTATTCAAAATTTCTATTCTCGCATTCAGTTGCTTCTCATATTCTCTGCAATCTATGATTTTAATCCTTCCATTATTTTCAGGATACTGTATTGGAACTTGAGTTTCAAGGTGTTAAAAAGAAATTCACCATGCTTCAGGTTTTTAGTTATTTTTTTGTTGATTGTAGTAACTTAATTGAAGTGTTGCTCTTCCTTATCAATATCCTACATTACAACTTCCTTTTTTGTACTTTACCCATTTTCAGACCTGGCCTGTACGTACCCCAAGGCCTGTTGCATCAAAACTTGCAGCTGATACTCCTCTTCTTACTGGTCAGGTAAACTCAGTTGTTATCAATTGTCTTATCCATGATGTAATAATTGTGATATTTTCATGCCTAATGACTTCTGTTTTGTGCAGCGTGTTCTTGATGCCCTTTTCCCTTCAGTTCTTGGTGGGACTTGTGCCATACCTGGAGCTTTTGGCTGTGGGAAAACAGTCATCAGTCAGGCTCTTTCTAAGGTAAACTTAATACACCCTTTTTGGAGGAATTTTGGGAGGGTTGGGGGTGTATGCAGCCATATGCAAGAAGTTCGAATTGAGATTAAAACTCATGAACTAGTCACCGAGGTGAAACTGTATTGTTGTGCTTGGGTTAACTCTCGACCTAATACACCCCATTAAGACATTAAGGTTTTTTATTTATAAATATTATCTAATTTTTTCTTTCCCCTTTTTTGGCAGTATTCCAATTCTGATGCGGTTGTTTACGTTGGTTGTGGGGAACGTGGAAATGAAATGGCAGAGGTATGTGTTTTTTTTTCAGTTACCTGTATCAAATTACTGTGTTTCTTATTTTGCAGTTGGCAAACTAATTGAATAATTGTTCAGGTCCTCATGGATTTTCCCCAACTTACAATGACATTACCTGATGGTCGGGAAGAATCTGTCATGAAGCGTACAACACTGGTGGCTAACACTTCAAACATGCCTGTGGCTGCTCGTGAGGCTTCAATTTATACAGGTGACTTTGTAGCTCTTATACTCTGGAACATCCATTTATTGTTGAGAATTAATATATACTAATTCTCTCGAATTGCCAAGTATAATTTATTTGACTTGTGAAAGTCTTGTAGGATTTCAATTCAGTTGCATATCTCAGCCACTGCTCTGAAATAAACTTTGTTGTAGATCTGTGCTTGTCAAAAACATTCTGCATATTGGTTAATTTTCATTTGGCTTTATTGTTGTTATATTTTCCCTTATAATGGACTAGTTTGACATCTGTACTGCATTTTTTATTTAATTTCAGGAATCACATTAGCTGAGTACTTTAGAGATATGGGTTACAATGTCAGTATGATGGCTGATTCTACATCTAGATGGGCAGAAGCATTGCGTGAAATCTCTGGACGACTGGTATAAACTAGACCATTTATATACAATTATGATTGAAACATGAGGAATGGACCTTGGTCAGTGTATTTGATGATACTGTTGTCTTTCACAGGCAGAGATGCCTGCAGATAGTGGATATCCTGCTTATCTTGCTGCTCGTTTGGCCTCTTTCTATGAACGTGCTGGGAAAGTAAAATGTCTTGGAGGCCCTGAGCGTACCGGTAGTGTAACAATTGTTGGTGCTGTTTCACCACCTGGAGGTGACTTCTCAGATCCTGTGACATCTGCAACCCTCAGCATAGTTCAGGTAAAACTATACCTTCAAATATGGTTGAAAGGGGTAACTGTAAGTCAGCAATAAGCTTCAGGTTGTTTTGACTAATGTCTGCCAATATATTACTATGAATATCCATCTAGTTCGTTCCTCTTTTACCTATCCTTCAATTCAATGACTTCCAATTCATTGTATAAGTTTATATTTGCTGATTGACAGGTTTTCTGGGGTTTGGACAAAAAGCTTGCTCAGAGGAAGCACTTTCCTTCGGTGAACTGGCTTATTTCTTATTCAAAATACTCAACGGTATGTCCTGAAATTGGTTACTTAGTAACTCATTCTCCTGCTGTCTACACCTGTATGCATATATTTCGTGTCTTTGTTCCTTAATTTTTCAATTAATAATTAGTTTTTGGTATCTTTAGGCGCTCGAATCCTTTTACGATCAATTTGATCCAGATTTTATAAACATTAGGACTAAAGCTCGTGAAGTTCTGCAAAGAGAAGATGACCTGAATGAAATTGTCCAGGTATGTTTTTGTTGGTTCTATTATGTTTGATTGTTTGTTACATCCGTGCTTAGGATGTAATCAAAACTTGGGTATCAATGTGATGCATAATCTCATGAGTGGAGCACTAAATGCTACTAAATTATGGTGTTTGTAGTTCAGAAAATTTGTTAGGATGTATACCCCTTTTGTTCTATAACTGGATAATTTATTTCCTGCGTTTTACTCCAGCTTGTGTGCAAGGATGCTTTAGCTGAAGGAGATAAGATCACCTTGGAAACTGCAAAGCTTTTGAGAGAGGATTATCTTGCTCAAAATGCCTTTACACCGTAAGTTTCTTTGTAATTGGTTAACTTATTTAGTATGTATTATATTATCTTTTATTTGCTGTTCTTATATTGCGACCTTTTGTGTGGCTATGACAGATATGACAAATTCTGTCCCTTCTACAAGTCTGTTTGGATGATGCGTAACATTATCCATTTCTACAATTTGGCCAATCAGGTATGGATGGTCTAAGGAGTCCTCCGACAATGGTTTAGTTTTGTTTATATTATAAAAAAAATCCATGTAAACATAAAGATGGATTTTGTGTTTAGTTCGTTGCATTATTACTCTTGCCTGAAGAAATTTCAGTAAAGATGGGTAAATCGCGTTCAAAGTTTAGAAATTTAATCTAGGCTGGCTACATGTGCAGGCAGTAGAGAGGGGAGCTGGTTCAGATGGTCAGAGGATAACTTACTCCCTCATCAAACATCGTGTGGGAGATCTCTTCTACCGATTAGTGTGAGTAGTTGTACTGCTATACATGATGACTTATTTTGACATACTAAGTAGCTCTTATTCTATTGATCTGTTGCCATTGCAGGTCTCAGAAATTTGAGGATCCGGCAGAAGGTGAAGCTGCTTTGGTCGCCAAATTTCAGAAGTTACACGAGGACCTATCTACTGGTTTCCGCAACCTTGAGGATGAAACCCGATGAACGAAGATGATGTCGGTAGTTTGCGCAAATATTGTGTTAATCCTATTTAAGAGGCAATCTAGCGTACCAGGTTGCAACGTCCCCAGCGTTCTCGTATTTCACTGTTTGATTCATTCATATCACATTTATTTCCTTTCTTGGTGCTGGTTTGGCTTTTGATCTAGTTTCATGTCTAGCTGTAATCATGTGTTTTAAGTCAATCCCCAGTTTGTTTATTGAGAATAAGAAACGAAACGTTGCTCTTTCAATGTATTTAGGAGAATAAAGTTATTTTAGAACATTAAATGCCTGAGGGCATGTGGATTCTGGATTCACAGGGTTGGAATTTTTGGAGGATGTGGATCATGTTGAATCCTGTATTTCATAGATGAACTTTTTGTAGCAATGAGTATTTATTCGAATTATTTTGCTTCCCAAATTTAGAGATACTAATAATAATATTTAAAAGAACGTCTTTTCTTACTCCCTCACCCTTCCGAACATTAGCGCCACATTCTGGAACCATGATGATTACGTTTGGGCATGTTATTAGGAACTACAAATTATAAATTAACTAAGTATCATTCTTATACATCATGATATTGTAACAATTGTCAATGGTCATGATATGGAGTTTATTAATTAAACGATCTACTTATTATAACATTGGTTATCATCATACATTTATTTATGTTTTCGTTTATACTTTTAACGCCCATAAGCACGTATTCTCTTGTCACAATATTATTACTTTACTACTAAAACTCAATTAAACTTCGCTATATTTACAAGTAATTAACACGCTCTGAAAGCTCTTCATTCTCAACCTCGAAACCCACCTATGTGAGAAACCACTTCAACACAAAACAATGACGTATTATTGATGCTCAAGTGTGTAACAACCAGAAAGTATTGTTCTATCCGCTCCTTCTATTTCTTGTCACAAACAAAGATCCGATCCCCTTATTTATTTAACGTAGAATGATTATTCTGTACTTTTAATAAAGAAATGCTCCAATGTAATATGTACTAAAACTATTTGACATACTATGATTTAAACATTTCCAGCCTTATCAGCAGCTTATGTGCATCATGCATTTTCCCTTGCACAATAAATAAAAAAAGACAAATTTCGTTGAAGGCAACAACATAACTCTCCATGGACAGGAAGAGAAAAGAAATACACATATTATAGGAAATACAATTTGGTCCAAAACAAAGTATGAAGGTAAAGTGACAATAACCATTGTGAGTGCACACTGCCATTGAAATTAACCAACAAGTACAAGTGATAAGGATTTGGCTTCATACTCGCAAAGCGCACTGAACCAATCATCCAGGACCAACTTTAGGAATATCATAATGCTCGCTCATGTTTGCAAGATACTGGTTGAAATCTTGAATTCTATCACGGTGAGATTTATTAGAAATCTTGGCCAATCTGTGAACATCAAGTTGCTCCCTCTGCTCAATGTATCTCCTCTCTGCCGGGGTAAGATGATCATCATAATGGGCAACCTTCCCTTTCCCACTGCTCATTTCCCTCTCCGTATTTGTATCCTCCTCATTAGAATCTTTACCTTGTTCTGCGCTTCCACCTAAATCAAATACCATTACATATATATACACCATAATGTATGGTCAATTAAACACAGCCATCAAAGAAAATGGACGAAGACAGAACACTTGTCTACTTACTCAAAGATCAGATAAAAGTTTTGATATCTAAGTGTTATCGTTCATATTCAAAGTTTTCATTAAACATTGCCACTTATCATACTTAAGGGCAACAAAAAATATATATACGTTACCTCAAGGAAGTACACATAAATTGAAGGGTTTGACACGATTAAGATTATTGTTGCTATCGCTTACCTTGACCACAAAACACATACAAATTTTTTATGTTTTAGTAAGCCATAACCAAAAGAACAAAGATAATCAACCTGCTGAAATTTCATCTTCGGTAACTTGCAGAAGTTGATCTTGGTTTCTCTTGTTCTTCCTTTTCTTCTTCTTCACCCCACCCGCCACATCCAGCGCTTTCCCCTTCAGCTTCAATTTCCCACCAACAACGTTGTCATACGATGACATCTCTGTCCCAAAAATAAAACACGATTGAAGACAATCTTTTTCCAAAGAAAATCTCTACAAAGTAAGGAACGAAATGACCGGCGGTGAGGTAGATGAATATTTAGGGGTACTGACAAAAACCCTAATCTGTGGATTTGCACGGAAAGAGCTATAACAGTTAAAGAATGACATAATTTGAATTTGAACAAACATTGAAATCATTAAATCGAAAAGGTTGAGAAAGTGATAGGAATTAGAATCGCACCAATAACATAAACGCAGAAACCTGTGAAACTTTCCGATCTCTAGACTCAAATAGATTTCAAATTCTTAATCTTACACGCCTTTCTAAAGAGGTGAGCACCATTTATATTATCATGGTTTATATATACACACACCCTATTTAAAATTTACAAAATAAAACCGGATTATTAAAATAAAAGTTAAATTTTAATTAAAAAAAAATTCTACATAACTTTTGTTTATATAAAAAAAAAGTGTATGCTTCTCGGAAATACATTAGATCAAATTTATTTATTAGATAAATTAAATTTAAAATTCCAAAAAATCATTTTTTTTCAAAACTATTTTAAAGAAGAAAAACAACTGTGCAAAAATAGGTAGCTTAATGTTTATGTTTCTACCTTTGACCATCGCTCACCCTATTTTATAATCATTATTTGAAAGATATACCAACTATAATGTCTAATTACTTAACTTTTATCATTTTTAATTGTTTTTTTTTGCTGCTGTATTATTTTTTTAACATTGTAGTTTTTTGTTTTTTATTTTATTTCCAAAGTCACAGATGTTATAAGGACAAAAAATTGCAGCAAAACAACTTGAGAATGGGTGTTTTATAAGAGTAAACAACTTTTAAAATGAAAGATGAAATGAAACAAAAATTGTGTTCCTCCTCACCTAACCTTGATCACAAATGAAACAAACTTTGCAATGTATAAAGACACGATAATTAAAATTAAGTGCCAATTCAATATCTGTCCCTTCATATATATATATATATAATTTTCATTTTAAGTTCGGGAAGGGATAATACTTTCATGTGGTTTTAATGAATTTTCATTTTTTAAGGAATTGGATGCTTTTTGTATATTTTTGGAGTATCCAAAAGTATAAATTTTGATTGAAGAGGTTAAAAAAGTGAACAGACTAAATTGCAAGCTTCTAGCCTAAAGGTTGGTTTACCAATGTTGTGTTACTGTCTAGAATATTGTGCATTTTGGTCGTTGTGATTGGTTATTCTGATGATTTTAGATTATGTGAAGGAAGAAAACAGATATTGAAAGTATGGTAACCAACATAATAAAACATAAAATTGCACTAAGCATCCCTTATCATGCAACCTTTCTCACAAGTATTGCCAGCAAAGAACATGATAGATAAACAAATTAACACAGACCCCAAAATCAAGTTCCGGCATTAGATTAAAATTTGTTTTTCAATAATTAATATTCCTCAGAGAAAGTCTACTCTAACATGCGTCTCAAGGAGACACCAAAACAAAGGCTGTAAACAATATAAGGCAACAGATGGTTTCCTTAGTTTTCACAGTTTTCGCATGGCATAAAAGCCAACTGTGACCAGAGACAAGCTTTCATCAATAATCATTCTTCTTCAGTATATTCCTGGAATTATTCTGTAGGGTACCTTGTCGCAATATAGTTTCCAGTACTTGCCATACCTGCATGACATGAAAACAATGGTCATGATCCACAAGAACGACAGACTGTTCCAATTTCAGACAATCTAAATGATTTCATCATTAATAAAATAATGGTTTTGAAGAACCATTCATTTTATTCTTTATAATTGAGCTGCTTTCATGGAAAACAAATTGTTGGCAATATGGATAGAAACGATTTTATAAATTTGCTTATTTTGCCAGAACTACCACTTTATGTTGAGATGTGCTCAAGATTATTTTTCTTTTTAATACTGTTATTTGCATGCACACTTACGAAACAGTATAATTCCACAGGGCTACCGTCGTGTTGATTTCATAATGCTAAACAAATCATGCCTATGTATCCCAGCATTAAGTTGCAACTAAAAAACAACGTAGTTCAGGCTAAAGAGGGTTTGGGAAACAAAATCATACAAGAGGTATCATCAACAGATAGAATAATTGAACTGAACGCTTACTTGGATCTGCATCGATCATCATCTCGTTTTGCTCGATCAAAGAGAAGGATGGTAAGAAAGATCACGTAGAAGTAAGGCAAAAACTGCAATGGAAAAAAAACTGAGCTCAACATTCTCTCCAAACTTCGACTTGTACAAAGAAAAAAGATACCCTTACATGATTAAAAAGAGCTGGGACTGTCCAGAAGAAAGCTGCCAGTATTTCAGGGACATAATGAAAATGACGAGATAATCCCCACCTGCAGGTACCAACGTAAAAAGAGAATTGAGAATTGGCATTTCTTCCAAGACAAAGGTGTATTTATTTTTAAACACAGGCATTTTTTTATTCTGAAAAAAAAAGAGTACTCTACGCAAACAGCATTACGTCAGATATAAAAAACAAGAGTTACAGAAATTAAAAGCACCCAACGGTTAACAAATAAAATTCATTCTGAATGTAAACTATCAACATCCACCTTTTGTAGGAATTAGAACCTATTAAATCAATTGCCATCTCCTAAAAAAATCCTCAAAAATCAGAGAGAGGATGCAGGTATGGTCTCATTTCTTAGTAAGCAAATTTAAGTAAAAACTTACCATCCAGAGGTTAAAAGAAGACTTCTTTTAGTTTCCCCAGTAGTAGTGGTATACGAGGCCTCTATCTGCAAAAGTATTCATTATGTCTACCTTATATAAAAGACTATTGGCAAATATCTGTGTAAGCCTTCTCTGACATACATTCTAAAGAAAATAGAGCCCAAATGAAATTTAGACAGCAAATACAAGGTACTACACCTTTGACGGAGCTTTTCCCCAGACGGTGCTTTTTCCATTTGTCCTACGAAATTCTTGCCTTTGCCTGTCACAGTCATAGTTGATGAATATGCAAAGAATGCCAGCCAATAAAATTGAGATCGCTAGCTGGAAGACAAAAATGAAAATTTTCAGAAAAGTCAGAAATTAAAAAGAATAAAAATAAGAAAAACTTTGAAGGCAACTCCACTAACTTCACTTCTTGTTCCCCGTTGCCATTGGACTACAACAGATAAGCATCACAAACAGAATGCAGATGGTACCTGAATGCCGAGATTTAGGGGATGGTTGACAAGGTACATTCCAGGAGATGTATACACAGATGGAACCCACACCAAGCAACCCCAGCAAATATAAAATCCAGCTGCAAGATATAAGTGCTATGAGATTAAGCAACGCGCATAATGAATTTAGCAAAACAGCAATATAAGTTTAATAACCTATGACATCTAATAATAACAATTCTTTTCTAATCAGAAAAAGGCTTCAAATCGATACAGTTACAGCACCCTCCTCCCCCAAAAAACTGTTCTTTCTCCTTTAATAACCTTGCTTCAAAAGTACAAAAATAGTAACACAAAACAATAGAGCAGGTATGTCCAACAGAAACAAGAATAGGACACATGTAAACCTCGATCGTGTGCAATATCCATTGTGTTCCAATATCCAGCCTCCCACCAGAAAAACTTGGTAACATATACTAGCATTAATGCAGTATTTACAAGCATTGAGTCTGATACTTTTCCATTTTCTTCATACTGTCAATACAAGAATACAAAATTATACAATTAACGAAGGCAGGAAACATCTAAAGATATGTTTATGAAACAAATTCATGTTCTGGATTCATCTAGTACTGTATCCATCTCACATCCTACTCACGGTGGTGATAAGTTGGTGCCACCAGGGCAACTAAGGAAGTTCAACGGGATAGCACAATCAACAAACCAGCAGCTCATATAAGCAGCTGACACAGTTTGGTATTTAATTAACTTCAATATTTATGCAAAGAAGAAACATTATGAGACCCAACCTGTTTTATACAGTAGGTCAACGCAAGAACTGCCCATGACATCATTCCAAATCTGCAGTTGGTGAAAACTTTTATGTCAAAATATTTTCCAATGCGCGGATAGAGTTCCATCCCCTGCAAGAATGACAAGACATTAGAATGCTATTATTTACAAAAAGGGTGAACATGATTCTTAATGTAAAACAGCCCAAGTGAACCGATTTTTACTTAAGCAATTTATCCTTATGTAACAAAAGTGGGAATTACAATCACAAAAACATCAAGACATTCCTACAACAAGAGTTTCAAAAGATCAATTGTAGCGTCACGCACGAGTGCACTTTCAGTGAGACTAGAGGAAAAAGGTTGTGATTTTCTGTAAGAACTTAAGAATGCAAGATGCATTCTCAGGTAATTTCAAAGAAAGACTCCTTCAATCATACTCACATCTGATACCAACAAATCATATAAACCAGTTTACCCAGATTCATCATGCAACCAATCACTTTTCTTTTTGCAATCTTGGCTATTTTCAATCGAAATAAACAGACATCAAAGAAGATAATTGGTATAAAACTGTTTAGCCAAAGTAAAAAGGTTTACCCAGTAAAAATCAATGATTATGTTTCCAGATGAGCCAGAATCTGTTGAAGATGGTGCCAAATGACCCTAGCATACATAACAAAAACCAGAAAATTCATTTCAAATTAATAGGTAACAGATAGTTCGTAATTTCTGATATTTTTGCCTCACTTTTATGTACAACAAAATACAGAAGACCAAGCTCCCGAAGATGAGTGCTGAATATATTTCTCCCAAATGATCATAAACAACTGTTGGGTTGAATATCCCAAACCTGAAAAATGTATAAAAAAAAAAAAGACATGCGGTTCGTCACAAAAAAAGTAAGAGACAAAAACACTCTGCTCTAAATAAAAATCTTGTCAAGCAAGAAAGTAACAACAGCCATCTTATAGAAGAACAAAGGGAAATTCAACTTAATCTGTAATGGTCTGCATTACCCTACAACAGCTGAGAAACAAACCTTCCTTGACGAAGCTGATAAATTCAAAAGGAAAGTACCATTTTTTTTTATTAGTAATTCCAGGTCAAGACAAGTTCCATTCCTAGCGAATCTGAACAGCGTGACTTCAAATTTCTATTATCGGTTACTGACTACTAGTTTTTGTGCAAAAATTGAATGTGACTACAAATAAGATGCACTTGTGAAAGATAACAGAGAATATTGAAGATGGAGTGAATGACTGTTAGAAGAAAGAGAATGCGGAGGCGTAAAAGGCTCACCACCAAAGGGCCATATAAGTAATCAAGGTGACTAAATACGCCGCCACACCGTTTGCCTGAAGAATGGAAAACGGAGATTGGTCAGTGAAGTGAAGTAAGTAAGGATTTGACATGATTTCGAGAGAGGTGTGAGGTGTGTTGACCTTGTAGACAGGTTGATGTCCAGTTGGAGAAATAGGGCCGTAAACGGTTTTGGCGGGCAGAAGGAGCTGAAGCGCTGCTTCAAACACACCATAGACCACAATGATTTTGTAAGCCGTAGCAGTTGGTCTAGGCCATATATCTAGGAAGCCCTGCACCCCATTCTGCTTCAAATAATTCCACGTCTCAGAAACAGATCCGTCAGTAGCAGTCATGGTGTACCACCTGCATACATTCAGTTCCATATCCGAATTCATTCAGATCAGATTTGATCATAGCAGGTTGAAATCAACAATAATAACAACAATGGAAAAGGGAAAACGATTAGGGTTTAACTCACAGCAGAATGACAAATGGAGGACATAGCGTGAGAAGAGAAATCATGGAAGCATAAGTGACAAGCGGTGAATGCACGGTGTCACCGTCGCCGGACTTCGGCTGCGCCACCGTCTTCTTCTTCATCTTCTCCGATTAAGTCTTCTTCTTCTTCTTCTTCTCTCTCTCTCTCTCTCTCTCTCTGCAAACTCTCACAGATCACACGTTCGTTCGGACCGAGAGACGACCATGCCATATATCACTCAGAGTCCACTCTCATGCGGACTCCACTTTCCACTCTCAATCCATCCTATCCGTTCAATCCCATCTCCGCTCTAATCCCAACCGTTCATTTTTTGTTTTTTGCGCCAATTAAATCTCCTTCCAATTTTCCATTTTTAAGGTATAGTTCTTTCTTTCTCCATTTAATTTTTAAGTACAAAAATCATTAAAAATTAATGATTTTTTTTCTATAATTAATTTAATTCTTAAGTGTGAAGCTCACTTCTGAGAGAAATTCATGCATCGTATTTTGTAGTTTTCTGCTAAACTCACGTAAACAGCAGTGTCATAAATAACACGAAACAGTATATCATTAATAACACGACAGAGTGGTTACAAATATTTATAAGGTAACACAGAAAACAAACGAGATCAAGATCAAAGTTCTTCGTGTGTTTTGGTTTCAGCATCAGACTGAGAGAAGGAGTTTTTGACATTGACTACGGTTTCAGCTGCTGATTTTGCTGTTCCTTTCTCCTTTGTTCTAAAACTTTTTCAAACATTACAACATTAATAATCGATTCATGGTCACACAAATTAATGAAGAAAGAATCATCTGAGTGCAGTCTTACTCTATATCTGGAGGAAACAAACGGACATATGCGTGATTGAGAAGGTTTTTAAGCGTGTTGTACCAATCCGTAGGATAAAAAAGTCCCACATAGGAAGAATAAGCGCTTCTTAGTCTCTGCCACTCCACAAAAGATGGTTTCATCTTCTGTGTTTCATCATCTGCATTACCATTACCACTGCAGATACAGAACAACACCATAATCAACAACACCAACAGGAACACTCTCACCGACGTGTGCTCTTTATCCATGACTGCAAAATTCATTCTTGATCTTCTCCTTCATCCGCGGTAGCTTATGTACAAGTCTGTCACTCGGTTATTGCTGTGTTACTGTGTACGTGTCACACCATGATCTACCACCACTCAACACGTTGCTTCTTTTCTTTCTCACTCACCCTTTTCTGCACTACACGTTTCACTCACTTAAATATTTGTATTTGTTTCTGAATTTGAATTTATTCGTTTAATTTAAGAAATCTTTTCTACCGCTAAGTTCTTTATATGCATATATGATATTGAATTCTTTCGTTTTATATATGGCAACACATGCTTTATAAAAAGCATTTTCATGATTAGATTGGATGCCCATTACATTTAAAGATCAAAACAAACATTTTGGAGTCTCTAAACCGTGTGACAGACCAAATATACAATGAAAATTATCAATACCGTGCGAAAGATATATAAATCATAATAGGTACAAGGTACATTCTTCAATTACTTTTTCTGGTAAATTCATTTGGAATCAATGATAAAATTGAGATGGCAAACCATGAATGTCCCCTATAATTCCTTATGTTTTAACTCTCGTTATTCACATTCGAATGGAGGAAAATGAAAGAAAAATGTGATATGATATGCAGCAGGATAAGTCATATGATTCCAGCAAATTGGCTATGGCTATATTCAATATTTTATCCGTAGTTCAGCATCAGGTAATTCACAAATCGTGTGTGATAGATTCCCTTCACAGTTTCAAACAACAGAGTCTTTTCTGAATACACAACTTCTCACTATATGAAACCACGTCCATTAAAAAGTATAAAATCCTTCGGAAAAATAGACGAATAAGAATTTCCATTAGCTATACAACAAACTAGGAGTTGAGTGTGGAGGAAAAACGAAATCACCATATCAATGGCAGAATCATCACACTTACCAACATCGCGTATATGCTTACAAAATACAAACAACCACCACCACCACCATCATTTTGGACATGGGAAGACATATTTCATTAAAGAGGAATACCTACGAGGTTACCAGAGAGGATGACTACACTGGAATGACATCAATCTTTGACGTATCTTCACATCTCAAAACAATACCCTCAAGGCTAGCTGGAAATATACATTTGGCCCATTGGCATCCGGTAGTCAAAGGCTCAGGTGGAGGGACAATCATAAGCACATTGTCATTTCTTTGAACAACCCCCATTACACTAACCGTGCTACCTTCTTTGATGTACCTACAAAAAATATCAGTGACAATTACATAAGAACATATTTCCATCTTAAGTTTTCTGAACTTTATTTTCTAGAAGCATTTTTGCAATGTTACCCTTCTTTTAATTGCATTATACGATCATCGCTAGAAAGTTTTCTCTCCCCCAACCATCGAAGAAATTCAGGGGACATGTCTTTATTGGCTGGATTAACATCAATAACAATGGAATCATCAACATAAGGAGTCACCCTTGCACCATAGCCTGTTTTAACCAATGCTCTCAAGCCAGATTGGAAATCAGAGATGTAGAAGTCCACCACATGCCTCTGCATTGAATAAAATGCAAGGCAAGTGAATATAAAGTGTTTTTCACATGCTATCCTGCAAAATTCAAAAGACACGAAGAGCATCCTAGTGCAATCTAGGGGGGCTGCAAAGATAAAAGCTTTTCAAAAACATACTTGCATATATTTTTATTTCTGAAAAAGAACATACAGTTTTAAAGTTTGGTCTTCTCAAGAATATAATTAGTATTTGCCATCCAACATGAAATTTTAGTTACCCCAACATATGAAAACATTACAAATAAGGTGATAGTGGAAAGCTTAAATCAGCTAGATTAGACTCAAATCCACACAACACACACACAATGCGAGTATCACACGACCGTGAAGATATACCTATGATAATAAGAATATTCTTAGTAGTCAAAGAGCAGAATGTCATTATCAAAAGCCCACACCACCATATTCCTCGATTAGGAGCAAGAAGTACATTCAGTGTCAGAAGTGAAACTACCGGAGGAACTTCTTTTTATGCACTTACGGGTAATATTTACATTTTTCTGGCTTCAAAAGAAGGCCGGATAGAACTATAGAAAAATAATAAACATAACAAAGCCTTTTACTCTCAATAACTTCAAATAGATTGTGCAAGAAGCTCCTACAAACCAAAATTTTCAGTATCCTTTCAGTTAGAGCTCAATGGAAGAGCTGTGTATCTCATTGGATTCACCAATATTTGGTGACTATAATGGAACATTAATTTGTTAGCACTCTATGTTGATAATTTTATTACAATGTAAATAAGTTAGGGTCAAACCTCAGGTAATTTTCTTTAGGTGCTCGTTGTGTTGTTCCCTTGTTAGAATATAACATGTACACTATTTTCACTCATCAATGCTCATCTCCTCTTCCCTCTTCTTTCCCATTGCTTCCATTTCAACTCTTTTTGAAAGTGCTTTAGAGTTTGAGACCAAGCCCAACACCATAATCTTAAGGCTTAACCTGGTCCACCTGCTCTCAGGCACTTGAAAAACCTGGCTGATTCCCTTCCCAATAATTGAAGTCATAGGCTTTAATCATTCCTGTGTTGGAGAACTAGTCAAAGACTATCATTTGTGTTATTGACTTCATCAATCATTAGTTGCATCTCCATCCTTTTCTGGTTCCTAGTTAGAATGTACCATTGTCATTGTTGCTAGAATAAATGGCCATACTCATCATAGTCATCAATCCCAGATATTGGCAGGAAGTGGTCAACTCCAAAAATGCTATAGCAAAATGGTGGAAAGCAAGAGGGCCTCTATTTTAAATAGTATACTATGAAGTAAATAATATATACCACATATATAAATACTAAAAACCAAAAAAGAAATCCATGATAAATAAGTCATCGATTACACGCAATCATCATCAATCTAAGAGTAATAAATAAGAAGATAGGAATGAAGTCAAAAAGAAGAAAAAAGATGACAGTGAAATTAATAAAAAACACAAACAGAACACATTAAAAAAGTAAGAGACTATAAAGATTGGAATCTGAACGAAAAAGAAGCAGGATACCAACACAAAAAGGGAACACAGACCTGATAAGTGTGAATGACCAGATGTCAAAACAAAAGTGACTTTTGAGTGAATGAATGGAGAAGAACTAGGAAGGGTTTCGAACTCTATGATGTTTCTGAATCAAAAAACGCATTGGAAAATCTTAGGGGGAGAGGGTGAAGGTCACAATTTTACCCCAAAACAAAAGCCCTAAAATTTCTAAAGGGTAAAAAAAATGGTTTGAATTGAAGGCCATCTTAGTAACGTTGCCATAGTGCGAGAAAAGACACTATTTTGGCCACAATGATTATTGCAAGTGAAGTCCCTATGCCAATCGAATTCTATGGTCAGTCCCCATCACTACTTTGCTATAGCAATGCCATATCCCACTATCGACTACTATGCTCTGATCAATCTAAGAACTAACATTTTTCTTTATTGAGGGCATTACTCTCCGAATGATTTTATATTACATAACAGTTAATATAAAAGATTGGTCAAAAAGTGTTGGAGTGTCGATTGATTGCAGTAAATCCGAACCAGCATCGATTGCGAACTCTTTGGTCTGCTTTGATTGCAGCCTCACGAAGGTGTGTTTAGTCCCACATCTCCTAAAGATATGCCTTGGATAGTGTTTACAAAGCTTAGACAATTCTTATCTTATAAGCTGATTTTATGATATTAAATAGGGTTTAAATGATGGTATCCTGGATTCATTAGTGGGTCATTTGCACTGCCACACTCCAAACCCATAGCCCTGAGCATGAGGGGTCTCGGAAAGCTGACTTATCAAAGTTATCCCTAGTCCACCTTAATTGCAGCCACTGTGTGGCATTAATTGCAGTCTAGAAAAGGTATGTTTAGTTTCACATTGCTTTGAGACATGCAACTAGGGAAATTGTGATCCATGTATTACAATAATATACATTCACTATATTTTGCAAAACCTTCCTTATTAAAGTAATCCATTCAGTATTTTTGTTGTGATTCTACAATCAACAGAGTTCAGTAAATGACTCTGTTTCTCTCTCAACAGTTCCTGTATATTCAATTGGAAAACACACCATCTAACTCACTTCCATGGTAAATGTATATCAAGAAATCCTGAATATTTTATCAAATTTGAAATTTTGGCAATCTGAAGACTGAACAGATTAATGCAATTACCTCAGCTGATCGAAGTCCCCATGTAAAGCGACGATGTTTTGGGTTTGCTGCTTTGGAATCCCATCCTCTGTATTCATACAAGCTTGTGGATGTATAAACACATCTAGGAACTTTTTGAAAGGAGGACTCTAGAGGAACATTACCGCAGGTAACCACCTTCAAAAGGTAGAATTAATTACAAATCTATTTCTCTCATTCAGGCATATATAAACAATATAGACAAGATGACAGCTAACCATTCAATTCATCAATGTGAATCGCATAAAAGCAATATACACCAATCAACAGATGAATTAAATAATTAAAGCGTGGGTGCTTAGGTGTGCATGTGCGTGTTTGCAGGACTGTTTTTCTCGCGATCATTCACTTAATTAACTGTATTATACATGTATGTGTGGTTCAAAGTTACATACCCCAGAAACCTTCACAAATTGCCCATTCTTGGCAGTTCTAAGCTCTGCATCAGGATAACGGGAAATGAAACCAACAATGGCTTTCCTTCCAAAACAACTATTCCAAGTGAATAGTGCAGCAACCGCAGCAAAAAGAACTACGACAACAATGAGGAGAATGGCATTGCGAACAGCTCCAAGAATAAAACCACCAGCAATGAATCCCATTACAAAAATCAGAATCACGGACCACAATATTGGCTTTGGGAAGTTCCTCCTGAAGGAAAATTCGTCATCTAGACTGAGAGTGGTTACAGCAGGATTGTGTGCTGCAAAAGAAGTATGTGATTTCATTGATCCTGTAGAATCTAATGGACCAGACACTTTCCTCGGAGCCCCAGATGAATTTAATGGGCCAGATGTGATAAGACCAGTTGTAGGAAGAACTGGAGGAATTGGACCAGAGTTTTGGCGTGTAACTCCACCAGATTGGGGGCCAGAAGACTTCTTGACTGGTTCCCCATGTTTGTTCAATGGACCCGAGTTGGTCTTTTTCATTGAGGCTGAAGCAGACATCCCTCCAGCAGATACATTACCAGATGTAATATAAACAGAACGAGCTGCAGCGTTTTGCATTATAGGTCCAGAGTGTGAAGCACCTGCAAATGATCCTGTCCTCGAAGGAGCATTATTTATTGGACCAGACTTTCTAGATTTAGAACCATCCATGGGGATATCAAACATTTTCCCTAATTCTCCTGACTTCTTGATGTCACCACCAGTATAAGGCATTGCAACTGAGCTCATTGTCGGAGGCTTTTCTTTTGGCTGTTCAGGCCGGCCTGATACATACAGGCCATTACTGAGCTGATGAGATGGGAATCTTGAACCCATCAGACTTTTTCAAAGCAGCGCAAAAGAGGCGCTATTGAGAAACAGTACTAGTTCCTTGAAGCGGTACTCAAAGCAATACTGCAAAACAGTGGAATCGAAAAGAATACTGAAATGGAATTTTAGCCAGAATTCAACACTCATTATGGATAGATCATCCATATTTATCTAAGAGAAAGCAGCCAAAAAATATATATTGGGAAAGCTCAATGAAGTAATTGAGAACATTCATATTCAGTTAGAGAAACCATATTAAAAGTGCAAACAAAGGGAAAGGAAATGCAATGCTGTGTTTTCTGGAAAAGAATGATCGAATAAAAACAAAAAGAGTTAACAGGTGTTAATTCATTCCGAAAAAAGAAACATATTGAAGAGAAGGATATTAATGAAATTAGAAAATGCAAAAAGACAAGAGTGAGTGAAATGAGCATGTGGACAAATCAAAGCGAGTGAATCAAGGATGATGAGACGAAGTAAGTGTAGGTAGGCAACATAAGAAACGTGAATATTACATATATTTGCTTGATCCATTGGAAGCAAAAGCAAACTAAAAACATAGAGCTGGGCCAGTGAAAAGTGGGTACATCTGGTTCTTCATAATGGGAATTCCAACAAATTCCAGTGATGAGGTTAGTGGAAGTAAACAGGAGCAGTTACTTTATGAAGTAGGTTGCGTGAAGTAGAAATGGTGAAAAGGGAAAATTGAAGATGGGGTTAGTGGATCTAGAGGAAGGAGAAACAGAGGGTGATGGATCTCCCTCAGAATGCAAACATTGGGAGATCCATCCATACATAAGGACTGGAGTTGGAGAAGAAAAAGTAAGGTTTTTTACAAAAAGAAAGATGAAAAAGAGGCTCTGAGAAGCTGAGAGACGGAATGAAGAAGAAAAAGGGGAGATGGGTATTGAAGGCAAACCCCCATTGAAGAGTAGCTGTAATGCAATGGAAGAAGATCTGTGTAGAAAATGAGAAAAGTGTATACCTGAAAGATGGAAGATGGAAGATGAAGGATTGAAAAGATTGAAGATTTCGCAGAATCAAAGAGAGTGGTGATGAGGGTGAGGCTGAGATCCCATCTTCATAGCATTGCAGTATCCATCTCTCTCACTTCACACTTCAAAATCTTAACTTTCTCTCTCTTTCTTTCTCTGTTGTTACTGTTATTATTGAAAGTTAAAAACTCTCTCTTCAACCACTGGTAGGTTGTCTCGTCCCGCAAAAACCACCAAACAAAGCAACGTATAATTTATTTATTTCCAAAATATCATTGTTATTATTATTATTATTATTATTATTATTAACTCATCAAACACACACATGCCTACCCTACTCTTTTGTTATTCTAATATTATTAATTGATGTTTGTCACAAACCAAACCAAAGCTACACTTTTCTCTATTTTGTGTCACTCATCAATACCCTAAAACTATTTTTCCTTGCATTAATTTAAACCAAATTAGACAATGATTAAGGAACAATTAAGAAAATTTTACACTCCTACCCAGCTCCAGCTTTATTCTATAAAGGCTATGTGGAATAAACAATTCAATTTGGCAAATATTTGTTTGGAAATCCATTTTAACCTTTATTTGTTCTGACATTACAAAATAAAGTTCCAATTTTTATGATTACAATAGAGAATTTAAAGAATGAGATTTTCACTTTTTGATATTTTCGATTAAACATCAACATTTTCTGTATTTGGGTATGTATCTCTTACAATATATTGCAATCCATAAAAGGAAAATACATCTCAATCATTTAAAGCATCATTCTTTTAAATTTATATATGTGTTTTATCTTCTTTACCACTCGTTGCCTTCTTTTATGTCTGTTTGTAAATTGAAATTTTAAATAACCATAATTAAAAAAAAACAATATTGTTTCATAATATGAATTATTTTATTATAGATATAAAATATAACGTATATATTTAAAAATAATTTCATAAATAAGTATTGATATGTGAAATGTATCGATAAAACAATTACAATTTGTAATATAAACGAAATTAATAAATAAATTGGAAAGGCCAATAAGAAATTGTTACTCTTGTATTGAAGCAAGCAACCGTAGTAATGGTGCCAAGTGTATATGAGATTATGAGGCTTTGTCTGGTTATCGACAATCACAAATTTTTCTCATTTTTGCAATTCTCCAACATGCAAATAAATTAATATATATGGTCAGATGCATATCTTTTTTAATATATATTAACATATAAATGCAACTTTTGCTTAAACCGTAGGAAAAACATTTTCTCATGACGTGTGCATGTCTGTGTACGCATGAATAAAAATAATTTCAAAATATATCTTATAAAGAAAACTTCCTATTCTAAAACTTAACCGAAAATCTTATTTAGAATAATTTCAACAAAAAACATTTTTTAGGTTCAAAACAATTATTTAACACATAATCATACGAATATTTATTTAAAATTATATTAACTGTTGTTTTATGGTAATTTTAGATCATCCAACATGAATCCAAAATTTCATTTCAATTGCTCGCTATTTAGATATTAACGTACGAGGTTGTTTGTCATTTGTTCTTCATATCAGTTTAGTAAATGAAATTGCGAATTTCTGTCACTTATTCTTAAAATTATTATTCTTATTTATAAAATCCTTAGCTCTCTTCAAACTCGATAGATTTGATGTAACCCATTAATTTTGTAATAATGAAGAGCTTGAATTATTTGTGTAAGATCTTGATTTATAGAAACAATTATAAGAAAATTTGGCTTAGTTGGAATATATTATTAATTTAATATTATGTGCACTTCTTGGTAGTTCATACCAACTATAATATAATTATACAAATAGCTATTATCTGTATGGCATTACATGTGCACAAATTGTAAACATTAATGCCTATAACTTTACTTGGTTTAACACAAGGTCAGTAACTTCCAGAATCAAAATTCTCCTTTTCCCCTTTTACATTTCTTGTAATATAATGTAGGGTTTCCATAGTCCAAAGTAGTAGTAATAATAATGAGTTATGGTAGTTCAGTTGAGCCTAGAAATTAGTTGTTTGCTGAAACTGTTAGCACTAGATACAGGTTTGCGTATCTCCAAAGATACCAGTTCTTTTATTCTCAAGACATATCATTTGGTTTGCTGTAAACAGCAGCAGCCAATGCTTTTACTAGTTTAAATTAAATTTACTTGCTTGCAAGTTGCCACTGAAAAATTGAATTTTAATTACAAACATGGTTACAACATTGTCCCATCATTAAGCAAAATGAAGAAGCATTGCTTGTAGTATGGTTTTCTGAAATTTAAAGGTAGATGCCATTTCACACTCATTAAACAGACGATACTAATACTCAAACAAGTAAACAAAGTATCTTACGAAAAACATACTCATCACTGGTAGAGAAACATTCATTTATTTGAAAAGACTTCGAAGGAAACTAACGAAATATATTGGCATGCACCCAACAATTAATAAAGATTTTGAAATCTTGTTGGCTTGTCGCTTGTCATACGTAATTTCAAGAGTCATGAAATTTCAATACAAAGGCAGATTTAAATCTAAGTGGCCCCTGTAAAGAATTGGCTTCCGACAAAACGCAAGGACCTCATTTGATGTATAGCACAATCTTACCCAATGAGAAATCACTTCAGCTGTTGTCACTACTGCAATATCTAAATGTGTCACTATGGTGATATCCAAATATTATATGTTGAAAATTTATAAAAGAGATAATATCATAAATATCCCCGATTGAAGACTTACATATTTAAAAAAAAATCAATATACAGTAACGAAAAAAAAAAGAAAAAAAAAAAATATATATATATATATATATATATAATGATTTTTCAAAGGTTTACTTATTACCCTGACCTTTGCACAATTTACTTATAAACTGTCCTAGTCCCTAATTCCACTTTGATTTGACCTGTTATAAACATTCTAACTCCCATTAGGTAAAACCACAAATTTATCGCTAGAGTGATGATTTTAGTAATTTAACAACCATAAAAAAATTTGACACTTCTACACACAAATTAAATTTTGTGGCAGTTTTACTTTAATAGATTGAAGACACATTTAATCACTCATAAGCAGAGTATCAAAACAGAACTAAAAATACATCTGGAAGGAAACAAAATCATTCAGTTTCTACACAAATGGACCGAAATGTAAGATAATATGAAAAGGCACCTTATCTTGTTTGATATACAGAAAGAGGAATGAAGTTACCATAATCTTGAAGAGCATACTACACGAGGTGAGAGAAACTTTAGCAAGAATCAAAGTACACAAAAAATACATACAGAACAAGATGTGTCAAACTTTTTAAAATAACACAATTAATTCGTAATTGTATCTGCCTTACAAATGCATGTATCTGCTTATTCCCACGTCCAAAACAGCAAACACTGAAGCTACTCTGTATAGCTTCTGCTTGATCCAAACACAGTTAATAAAATTAAATTTTACGAATCCAAACATTTTGTAGGAAATTCAGATAAAATAGATAAGTTGTAATGATTTTTTAAAACTTTAATAAGATTAATGTAGTGATACTTTTCTGAAAAACTAATATGTTGGGTAACCGATCACCAAAATCAGGAAACTAAGCGCCTCGTTGCATTTGCAAACTAAAGAACCAAATTTCAGAACTATAGGAGAAAAGAAAATCAGAAGTTATTCTATTTTGTACTTTCAATCTGTACCCAAAGGAAAGAAATTGACAGTGTACCTGAAAGCTTTGACAAATAAAGCTATGAAATGATGAAGACGAAGTAGTTCGTGAAAGCATATCAGATAGTTGTTATCTGGTTAGTTAGAGAGTGTTATCGGATTAGTTGGGGCGTGCATAAATAAATAGGAATGATTGATGCAGGGTGAACAGGAAATTTTCCGCGAAGGCAATATTGAAATAATTTCAATAAAGGTAGAAGTCGGTAACTCAAAACAGAGTACATTTGAAAATGAAAAGCAACAACCTTAACCACATAAACGAAACAAAGTATAAACTGTAAGTAACCTAATAGCAATGGTTTGGTTCATATGAAGAAGATGCGCAGCGGAAGCGAAGCATGTCCTGTAAGACGAGACAGTGAGATTTGTATAGAAAGTAAAATACAGAAAATGAGGTGAGAGTGAGAATACCTGTGGTGAAGAGAAGGGACTGATTGTGAAGATCAGATGGCAGTTTGGAGAATAGAGCCGAGGGTGCCCAAAACGGCGAAAGCGAGAAGAGGACTAACGTCGAGGGTGTCAAAAACGGGGGGAATAATGTTACGGAAGAGGTTGAGGTAGGGATCGCAGAGGTCTCGGATTGCGGACAGAGGCTGCCGTTCCCACGGGATGTTCGGGAACCAACTCAGCAAAACCCTAACCATCAAAACCCCGCTGTATATGTCCAGCCACTTCCCAAGCCCAGCCGCAACCACCGTGAGCGGCGTGTTCAGCGCCCCGCTCGGCTGGTTCCGCACAGCGGCGAAGAACAGCGGTCCCATCGTGGAAACGGTGTTGGCACTTATAGCCGACCAATTCCCAAGCGGAACTGACTTGGCCAACAACACGGCCAATCCCATGAGCGTGGTGAGCGTGCGAGTGCATCCCCGGAGACAATCGGTGAGGGTTTCTCTGGGGGCGATAACAGGTGGCGGTGGTTGATTGCAATGGCACTTGACGCAGAGCGGTTGAGGTTGAGATCGGAGGTTGAAGGCAGTAGAAGAAGGTGTTGGGCTGCGCGAGAAGAAAGGGTGGAAACGAAAGGCGTGCGAATGCACAGCCACTGACGCCATGGCCATCTCCAGATAGAGCTCAGAGACACAGAAGTTAGGGATTTGGTTAACGAATTTATTCTCAATATACAATTTTTTTATATAAACTAATATTTCCAAAACTAACTCATTTCTCTTCATTCATATTATTCAAAATTTATATTTATATTTTATTTTTATCCTTCCTTTAGTTACTCGTAGACTTAAATAGGTTTATAAAAGAAAAATCTCATTCTTATAAAAAAAAATTAGTTTCTAATATTTATCTTCAAATTATTGGAGAAACAACATTTTATATTTCAAATGACACGTGTCAATATTATGTGACAACTTAGTAAAACAATAATTTAAGTAACACATAAATAGTTCAGTTAATTAGTCTCTTGTAATACTGGAATTGAAAGTGATCATTTCAATTTTAAAAAACCAAAAGGAAAATAATTAAGAAAGTAGAAAATGTAAAAATGTGTATTAATGATTGAGAAAGAAAACATGAAACCTGGAAACACCTTAATTAGTATTGGATTCTGCTTCTCTGATTGATAATTCCTCAGTGCAATCTCAATTTTAAATCCATTGAAACAAGTCATATGGAATAATCTTAAAAACTGTAACTTTTGTCCCACATTTGTTTTGCCAAATACACCAAATACGAATAATTCGTATATAAATAATAGCAATTAATTTTATAATTAATCATTATTATGTTTTATCCAAAATTATGTATTTTTCAGCTCCAAAATGTACTTCTTACATTAAAAGAGGTGAAACCCATAATTTTTTACAAAATATTCTGAGATATTAAGTTAATTTGTTTTACATTTTGAAATACTATGATTGAAATTTTGCTAATAATTTAAGATAAACCAAATGATAAACAATAAAAAATAGCGAGACAACTCGTCAACGTAGGTTTGTTAGAAGAAAAAACTTCATAAGAATCTTTATTAGACTCCATTCCGTATCCAAATAGAATCACAAACGTGATTGATTACTTAGTCTCTTAGATAAATCATCTGAAGTTTGAAATTTGCAAGAAACCTGATTTACATTTTTTTAAGAACAACATGTAAGTTAAAGAGAAATGGTTAGTTCTACGTTAGTGACGTAAAAATGAAAGTGAAGGTGCATAAACTCTACCCCATATATTATCCAAGTCAAATTTAAGTTAATATTTTATAAAAAAAGAAAAGAAAAAAGGGGAAAAGAAAGCTATGAATCAATGTGAGTAATGTAGATTAGCGACTTTTTTTGGCACATAAAAAAGAAAGAATTAAAGCCGCAGCAGAGTTACCCCGAATGGCATCGAGGGAATCCATTATAGAGAGGTTGAGTTCCTACGTCCAAGCTTAGCGAGGCAATCAGCAGTTATTTTCCTTCACAGAGAATGTAGAATTGTGATTTAATCTTCAAAGTCTCCAGCATTCTCCAATAAGTAGTTCGCTGCCAATTGCTCGTCACGGTCACATGCCAAAAATGCTTCTATCACCGAAGCTCTATCAAATCCCATTGCCTCAAGCTACCAATGGTAAGTAAATAATATCGATCAGCACAGAATAAGAACTTATCAGATAACAATGGAAATGACATGTATTAGACTACAAAAAGGAGAGGCATACCCTTCCAATTGCCTCCTGCTCAGCTGGAGTCACATTGATGGCATGAGGCATGTCTTGCTCAGGTTGGTCAAATATATCTCTGACAAAGAAAGATGGATTCGTTTCTACTTCAAAATCTACGTCAATATAAATTATGCAAGTAAACTCCTAATTCAAGTACAAACGTTCCTCTCATATTGTCAATATAAATTATGCAAGTAAACTCCTAATTCAAGTAGAAACGTTCCTCTCATATTGCATGTACGGGGAAAATTGACAACCAATAATTTGAACAGCATATGATGAATTCTAGTAAACCATAAATTTTATTGCCGAACTATTATTCTCTCTCCTAAATGGTTCCTAAAGTAAAACAAACTATGCAAGAGGTCCTAAAAGTAATTGAAATCAAATTAAGCAGTCCTCCAACTATTAAAAAAATCCTTCAATTTGATCCCTAAACTAATTAAATACATTAATGGGGGGCTAAAGTAACATATATTCAATACTTCAGAGATTACTCAAACAAATTAATTACTTTACCGACCAACTAGGAGAGAGTAGAGTAGTAGTTTGGGAATTGATGGAATTGAACCATTGTGTAATTGTTGTGAAATCTAAAACAGACTTAATATGCCACTTATAGCAAGAAATAAACTCACCCTTCAGAACCATCAACAGGTTCATTTATCAACTGGAGAAACTCCCCGTGATGCTCTTGAATCAGTCTTAAAAGACCAGGATTCTGCTTACCCAGTTCTTGAAGCACAGGCTGCAATGGAAAGTGATAAACATTACACATCAATAACTGTCAAGTAGTCAGGAAATTAATTGACAAAACGAAATACCTGGAGAATTTGTGGATTGGATTGCACCATTGAACGCAAAGCTTGAAACTGTAAGAGCAGACAGACAAATGGTCACTTAAAAACTAAAAAAATTAAGATTGAAGCTAGATACAACAATAACAAGAAGACTTATCCCAATAGCTAACGTTGGCTACAGGTAAAAGCTTGAAACCAGACTAGTCAATATCATGCATTTGAAGTGAGTCACAGGGTAACCCTAATCCTGGAGAAGTCATTGCAGCATGACTCAAGTCACAGCCATCATGTCACAAATCACACCCTCGCTCCAAGTGTGATGATGGCCATAGGACTTTTTCCCCCTACCCCCCTAGTGTCATTTTATGTTTCTTTTAGTGGGGGTAATGTTGGAAAACCCCTACTCCTTTATATTATGAACCTCTTCTTTTTGGTTCCACACTTTCTTCTTTCTTCTTTGATGCCCTAGCCAAAGCTTCCACACTTCCCATTGCACTCTGTCTGTGTTCCCATGGCTGTTGTAGCTCCAATCAGCACTGCCCACCACAGCCCAGTGCTGACAGAAATCTCTTCTGCCCAACCTCAGTCATCACTGTTGCAGCTCCAATCAGCACTGCCCACCACCTCAAACATCCACAACATGGTTTGTGATTTCCTAGACACCCATTTTTTCCGGGTGAGATTTCCAGCCAATAGCATTTATGACCCATCTTTTTCATATAGACCTATTAAGGATCTAAAATAGCAGTCATCGCGCTATCTGCCATAGCATTAGGTTGGGGGGCGAGAGCGATCATTCTGCACCCCTATTTGGTATTGACTACTATGCTTCAAACACAAAAAGAACAACAACCATTTTTCAGTCTACTGACTAGACACAGCTGTCAATTAAAGTGTATATGGAATCACAATGCGTTAGAGATACAAAGGTAGGACATGCTCCACAAAATCAACTTTACTTATGGAACATATGTAACATAAAGGATTGGAAGGAAGCTTCAGATTCACGGTCCTTTTATGCAGAGGAACAAAGTACATCATAAGTCAGTTAAAGAAGACCCACCTAGCCTTGGATGATAAAATTAGAGACCATCCATATCATGTCACAAGTTTAGGTATCTGTGACAAACTGAGTGGAAGTGGATGAATGTTTTAAGGTTATCTATGATAGAAAGGTTACATACTAGTTATGTTTTAAGGTGGCAATGAGAATGAGATGATAGAGGACATGAAGATCACAAGTGTTGTTGAGCATGAAACATTACATTGAACATGCGGTGAGGTCACACAAGAAAATAAAATATTAGCAATGTTTGAGTTAGGGAAGTAACTCCTCTTCAAGAAAAGATAGTTTGGACATGTGATTGAAGAGAGAAGCCTAACTTTGAACAGCAAATAAAATAGAGGATAACCCTATACTTAATTATGGAAGACAACCAAGAGAAGTGAGAAACCATTAGAAAAAATGGTCTCTCCGAAATATTGGCTTTTGACAAATACAATGATGCTATTCATTAATGTAGCCGATCCTACTACAGGAGAAACAGGTTTTGGTTACAAGACAAAAAGGGAAAAAGGGTTAATGTCAAACATAATACATGACGTTAAATTATTGATGGTTTATTCAATGTTATTCCTTATTCAGTCCTTTCCTAACATATTATATAAGAGAAATAAGATAACTTCCAAATTCACGTTTCATGCTCTTTCTTTGAATTGTTAATGTTATTTATAGCATAACACAATGTATATGATTTAAATAATCAAGGCACAAACATTGCCTATGTGTCTAGTTTCATAATACAAAAATTAAACATACTAAATCTAAAACTGTCTCTAGAGTTTTACTGAATTTTCAAATATGTTCCAATAGTTGAAATGTTTTCAAGGTCCCCTGTACAAAACAAACTTAAAAAGGCCTCTATAGTCTAAATAAGTTTCCAATTAGGAGTTAAGCCTATTAAATGTCAATTTTGCAAGTACTTGGTATTTCTAATGCCGACATGAATGGCAAGCAGAACACTGTTGAATTTAGACGGGGAAATTTAGAAAGAAAGAACAGAATCTTTCAAAAAGAATTTACATAAAATGGAAAGATTTTTGTTGAGGTATGATTATAGTACATAGGCTTTGCTCATCAATATACTTAATTTTTGTAAACCTAGTAGTGGGGACTAATTCTGAGTATTATAACATGTTATGCTATTATTTAGACACTAACCCAATGAACATTAAATGTATCTGCATGTGATACATGAACCACGTATACTTTTGACAGACTGCAAGCATACGTTTACAGTTGAAATCAGTAAGTCCATTAGGGACTTTATCAAAAATTTCAACATATATGAGAACTCTAACATTTTGCACTAAAAGTACCTATCTAATGGAATTTATTGTATTATAGGAACCTATAGACTAATTTAACCAAAATCCTTCTTACAACTTGGATAGTCAAGAATAAGTCTTCTGACTTAAAGAGAATAACAATTGATGGAGCAGCAAGCTCACCTGGGGATTATTTCTAAGGAAGTCCAGAGATCCAAGTCCGGCCCCAGTACTTGAAATTGTCTCCTGAGAGAATATCAGCTTGATGTAAAGCACAAAAATAACAGAAATAGATGCAAATATCAAGATGAAATTATTTTTGATCCATTTAGTACCATAAG